GACTAGAGGCCTGGTGCACATATTTGTGCACTGGTGGGGTCCCTCAGCCTGGCCTGCGCCCTTTCACAATCCAGGACCCCTCGGGAGATGTCGGACTGCTGGTTTCGGCCCGATCCCCACACTGGCAGTCCAACATCCCCTAACGGATATAGTAGTGTGTGAAGTGGCAGGTGGCCAGGGAGGAGCCCGAGCCTGGGCCGGGCACTGCGCCACTCCTGTTCACCTCGGCCCCATTGTGCCTGCCGCCGCCGGCTGTCACCACAGCTGAGCTCACCAGCCAGTGAGTCCGGCTTCTGGCACCCATCAGTCAGCTGAGTGGGCGCTCCCACTGTGGGAGCGCACTGACCACCAGGGGGGCAGCTCCTGTGTTGAGGGTCTGCCCCCTAGTGGTCAGTGTGTGTCATAGTGACTGGTCAAACGGTTGACTGGTCGGACAGTCAACCCGTTGCTTAGGGTTTTATATATATATTTTCCATACATATTTACTCTTATCTACTGAACTTTACTAATCATGTTTTATTTAAATCTAGATATTTCCATTGTTTTACCATTTCAATGCCCATATTACAAAATATTAATGACACTGAGTGACACTTTTTGTTCTTTACTTTTTTAAAACTTGTCTTTATTGTTGAAAATATTACATATGCCCCCCCCCCCCAATTGATCCTCTCAACCCACTCCCATTCCCTCCCCAGGCCTTTACCGCACTATTGTCTGTGACCATGGGTTATGCATATATGCATATAAATTCTTTGGTTAATCTCTTCCAGCCCCCACCCCTTTCCCTCTGAGATTTGCCGACTGACACTTTAAATGACACCCAAGACATCAAAATTTGACTATTATTTAAAGATAGCACACTATCAATATTTTTCAGAAGCAGTGTGGATTTGCACTGGCCCAAGCACATACTTTTAACAATTGTCTATAATATCTTACTCCTGCTAGGGTAAGTTTATAGTCACAGAACACAGGTAATGGACCCACACACGTTTCTATCTCAGCAGGATGTCATGG